AGTTTACCCAAACGCTCTGTAAGTATTTTAGTGAGAAAACAGAATATTCCCTTAGTGATATCCAATCCTCAATAGCTGTCAATGCGGTGGACACTTCGGGTACCATCAACGCGGTGAATCCGCAGGATGTCATCACCCTCAGTGATTCGCAGGACTGGCCGGGTTGGGTGACCTTCTCGCATCTGGAGGTTTCCGAGGAGCTGGAGGTGAGTAAAGAACCAGAGGACAACCAATCATTAATAACTAATCCCCTGCCAACCATCAGCTAAATGGAAGCGCCCAGGGACGCCAGTTCGAGGAGGCTCCCTTGAATCCCACTCTGCTGGAGTCGCGTCTAATCCAAGCCGACTGCCATTTCGATCAGATTTTCGTCCGCGGACCTGTACGCCTGCTTGGAAAGCTGGACAACGAGAGCTTTGACTCCCTGCTTGGAGATCTCGTCCAGCGTTCGCCGGACCCCGGCCAGGAACTGCTAGTAGTCGGCGCCAAGCGGGTTAATCAGCTGCTTCTGCCAGTGGACGCCCATGTGGCAGATAATCAGCTCAGTGGGATTCCCATCGATGACTTTGTGACCAAGCATACGCCGCAAACACTTCGGAATCTCACTCAATTGGGAGGATATGTTTACTTCCACCAGCTGGAGTTGGGGAAAGACTCCTCCTACGATGGCGTTCGCCTGGAGGAACTTCTCTCCGAAAGCCTGCGACTGGATGGGCCATCTCCTGTGACTTCCACCCTCACCCGCCTGCGGTTTTTTGGTCCTCCGCCGGAATTCACCAGCCTGCAGGTGGACAGCACTTTAAATGGGGTGCCGCTGTCCAGTGGCTACCAGCTGCTCCATGAACCACTCTATCTGAACAGAGCCAACTTCAGTCACCTGGAGGCTGAGCACGCTCAGGTGAACCACAATGTGGTTGGAGGCGGACTTCTAAATGGGCGAAACCTGGGCGATCTGCTCCGAGAGCAACCTCGCACTTGGTCGGGTGAAGTGCACGTCCAGGAACTGTTCCTCCCCCAGGGAGTGCAAGCAAATCAGCTGCAGGGCATAAAGGCAAAACTTCTGCTAGACTTCCTGGAGCAGCTGGACGAGCTGCCGCTGCTGATCCTCCAGGGTCGCCTGCAAGTGGAGCACATCGCCGTCAGCGGCTCAGTGCAAGTGGTGGGAACCTTGAACAGCCGAAACTTGAACGAGCTCCAGAGGCAGGTGGTGTGGTTGGATAGACCCAACGAACTAAGAACGCGTTGGATCCTGAGAGACCCTCCCCAGTTCCAGGGAAATCTCCAAATCCTGGGCAGCTTCAACGATCGCCTACTGCCCGAATTGCTGGATGACATCGTGCTGCGCTCTGACGGTCAGGAGGTGCTCCAAATCGAGGGCACCAAAAGCTTCCTGGCTCCCGTGCACGTTGAGGAACTTCAATTGGCCGCTCTCAATGGGATTCCCTTCGAACGTCTGGCCAACAAGGTGAATCCCCTTAACCTGACGGGAAATGTCCGAGTTCTGGGGCGGCTCTTTGTGGAGGACCTGCATCTCAATGGTGGGGTAAATGGGGATCCTGACTTTCCTAGTGAATTGGAGCAACTTCTTCGTTGGGATCCGACTACGCAAAGCTTCATCCATCGTGGAGTAGTGGAACTGCCACGGAAGCAACTGGACAATCTTGTGGTGCTGGGCCACTTGGGAAACCGCAGCCAAGAGCCTGTGCGGGAACTCTTTGACCAGCTGATCTTCAAGCAGCAGGAGAGGATTCACCTGCAGGGCCACAAGACATTTACGGGACGTGTCCGTATTGAAGATGGGGCATACATAAACAAACTGAATGGTCTCGATCTGGAGCAGCTCCTGGGATCTCTAATCTATGTAGATTCCCCGGAGGAGGCTGTTTTGGAAACACCCATACGCTTTGCAGCTCCCGTTAAAATGGATAACCTGCAGGCAGATCGTCTTGTACTCGCGGGAGAGCTGCTCGATGGATGCAATGTGAGCCAGTGGCTCCGGGACACCATCCGTGTAGATCGCGACTTTCAATGGCCCAAAAGTAAGTAGGATATTTATGCAGTATAACTGCATTAAGAACCGATTTATAAATGTCATGTTAAGATTCTAGTTAGTTATCTGTCAGAGAAAGTTAGCATGAAGTTAAATTCTTCGGAAAACCATTTCATTTTCTCAATGTGATGTTAATTTAAGGAGTGACCAATCTTAACATAGTCAAAAGACACGATTCCTTGCAATCTAGTTAATATGATGTTAATATATTACTTTTTTCGAATCAGCAATTTAACTGAATGATGAAATCTAACATGGCATTGAAAAATCGGGCCCAAATCATTTTATTTTCCAGTTTCCTTTGCGAAGGGATCGCTGGACGGGAATTCATTGGAGGTGGAGAAGCTTAACCAAGTGGATCTTTCGCGAATTGTCACTCGGCACACGGAGCAGCACCTAAGTGATCCCCTCCAGGCAGAGGACCTTATTCTTGATGGTCAACTGGTGGTGCGGGGCAAAGTCAATGGCCAGAATCTATCAGAGGAGTATGCCAACACTTTGATGGTGCGTAGAATCGTCCAATTTTCATTTCAATCCACTACTACTTCCCTTACAGACTAACCCCTTAAAGGAACAGCACGTGGAGACGCCCCTATTTCTATCCAGCATTTTAGTCAGCGGATCTCTGGAGGTTACTCCTCCCGTAAGCGGCCTAAATCTGAGCGATGTGGCCACTTTGGAGGAAGATCCAGTGTGCCTGCAGTCGCCCCTGTATTTTGCCACCCTCCATGCTCCGTTTTTAAAAGCGGATCAGAATCTAAACGGATTCAATTTCAAGGATTGGTACGAAGGAAGTCTGTGGGCGCGGGGCAGGGCGCAGCAGGAGATCAGCGGCAATTGGCGGGTTAAGAAACTTCAGGTGAAGCAGGGGGATGAACTGCGACCACGTCGACAAACTGCCGAGGAGAGCTACCGGGAGTTGTGCGAGGGTTTGGCCAGGATCCTCCTGCCCTATCAAGTGCAGAAGCTGCGCAAGAGTTTCTCCCTAAAGCAGGAGGAGGATCAGGAAGATATTCGTCGGATTTTTGCTTTGGAGGCACCCGAAGGCATCAGTTACCTTCTGGTTAACGAGCAAGGCTGCTGGACCCGCATCCACCGCTGGAATAGCACCGCATTCGATCGATCCGGTGCCTTCCAGAGCGGACCCGTCGACGAGGTGGCTGTTTTGAGGGTGGACAACAAGAGTTCCAACCAGGAGTTCTCCTTCATGACCAGTTACGAGATGCAGGATGATGAGCAAGAAGCTAGCAGGAACTGCAGCGGGTTGAAGCCCGTACTTTTAAGCTGGAAAATGAACAAGACAAGGGATACCGAGCAGATGGATATACCAGTCGATACCTTGAGAAATCTCAGGGAGCAACACGAGCAGCTCAAGAATCCGCTAGTGCCAAATCCCAGTTACCAGCAGGCCATCAAGTACCTCAAGCGACCCACCATCGAATCCCAGCTGGGCTCGCAGTGGCAGGAGCAAAGGGAACTGGATCCCGCAGAACTGGCCAGGATGCGAAGACGTCTACTGGACATCCTGGAGTTCCAGCTGCAGGCGGAGGTAAACATCACCCAGCTGAGTATTCCCGAGAGCGATCTGTTCGACGAGCACCTGGTGGAGGACTTTCTGGAGCTCATGCGCCAGCTGCACAGCCTGCGACGTCGTCTGAACACCGACACTCTCCCGCTGCCGGATACTCCGGCCAGAGTCCTGGCCGCTCGGAGTGCCCAGCTCATCTGGCCCACGCTGCAGGAGTTGCGGGGAATCTCGAATGAAAACGGCACTGGCCTCCAGGAGCTCGTGCTTGAGCAGACGCTGCTAGATGTGCTGGCGTTGGCCAACGATGAGAATGGATCAGGGGATGATGAGAAGCTGCATGCCGTCATTGAGAGATTGAGGAGCCTAAGGGAGGAGCTCCGTCAGGCGGAGCGAGACCAAGAGGAAGCTGCAGGCTCCTCTTCGGACAAGGAAGAGCAGTTTCTGCCGCTTCCCAGAGCCGACTGGAGACCCGTCGCCACCCTCCGCCTGATTGTGGGGCCCTCCAGCCGTGCCCGGCTCCTCTACGCCCGTCTGACCGTTGTGACACCCAAGGATGGCCCTCCTCCCACCACGCCCTCCACTGCCCCAGCCGCCCACATCCAGTTGCATCATGCCAATGGATCGCTCTTTCAATCCCTGGCAGCGGAGCGTGGAGCCCGCCACCTGACCACTTTGCGGGTGCGGGATGAGACGCTGCTGGCCTTCGTGGAGGGATGCTGCCGGATACGGGTGCTAATCTACCGCGGAGTTCAGGGATTCGTGGACTTTTCCCGTTTTCGAGCTCCTCGCAATGTGGGTGGTAATGGCGATGGAGAGGTGTTGCAATTACTATCCCTACGCTTGTCCCTCAACCGACCACCGGGAGCCGTGTACTCCTTGGCTGTGGTCCAGGCCAGGCGCGTCACATTCTACGAACTGGTAATAGCCGGATTACTAGAACCGTGGATACAATGCCAATAGGCGGAAATCTGTCGGAGATTCCCTTGAATGAATTTGTTTGCTTCTAATATTTCACATAAAACGTGTTTGGAATTGATGTTATAGTTAGGATCGTTCAGTTAGATCTTTGTACGAGGTTAATACTATATATATATCACATGTGTATTTATAAAGATATTTGTTTTCTTGGTTGTAAATTAAATGTTAAGGTGTTTATGTTAATAAACATAACTGTTTTCTTAAATATGTGAAAAGATATATATATTATTTAGAACCGCAGTATTTCGGAGACTCCCTAGAATAAAAATCGTAATTCCATTCCCTTGTTTCTTATATGTCAAATGAAAAGTGTTTAAGATGGGTAGTAAGTATAGAGATTATAATGTTAGTTTAGGGTCCTTTTGTTAGATCTCTGTGAGCTGTTGGACCCTATATCATACATGTTATGACAATTTGCTTTTAGACTTACTTAAAAAAACACACTTTAACTATATAGATATATCTTTATTTCAAGAGCTCTAGTTACACATATACATAGCATTAACCACGACTTTGTGCTCGGTGATTGACTCTTACAGCCTAGGCCCGACTTACGACTACGGGTCCCCGGATGGCGGATACCGAATTCCGGATCCCGAATCCCGATCCCTGATCCGAGGGGGAAGCAAATTGAGAGGACAGTGACTACAATAAATACACACACATTACGATAACAAGCGGCTGGAGAGGATTAGGATTGGGAAGAGGTCGAGGAGGTGGAGGGGGAAACATATGTACAGCTAATCGACCCAAAGAAACACTCCTACGAGGGAATCTTCACGGGCAGAAAGAGGCGCGGATCCCCGATCTTGGGGCTCAGTCGAACCACCACCTGGTCATCGCCGTCGCCCACCTCGAGGAACGAGTTCCAGTCGGCCAGGAAGTAGAAGCCGTTCTTCTTCTTCGGCGGTGGTGGCTCCTCGCTGACGGGATCGGGTCCAAATGAGTCGGCCAAGTCGTCGAGGGACCCGTTTCGGGATTCCTCAGTGGTGGTGGTGGTGGTGCTCGTACTAGTGCTACTCGTTCCCTCATCCTCCTCGGCTGCTCCTTTGGTGTCGCCATCGGTGTCGTCCAGGCCCAGACTCAGGCTGATCTTGGTCGGGGCTTGGGTGGTGGTGGCCGGCTCCTCCTCCTTGCCACTAATCTCCGTGGTGGCATTTGCATCGCTCTGTCGCCTCGCCTTCAGGGTCTCATCCTGACCAGTTTGCAGAGACTGCAGATAGGCGGCATCCGGATTGGGTCTGGTGACATAGCTCGGTGGAGTCGGCGTCACCTGGTCCAGGCTCACGTTGAGCTGCTGCAGCTCCTGCAGATTACTGATCAGGCGTTGCAACTCGCTGAGATTGGCCTTGGAGTCCTCCCGCTTTTCCTTGGGCGACTCGGGCTCTGGCTTAGCCAGCTGGTAGTTGAACTCACTGAACTCCGCCATGAGGTCGCCATCGAGCTCGCCCTCCCGCTCCTCGTCTTCATCCGCTGTCAGATCCTCGCCCTCATCGCTGCGCCGGCGGAAGCCCAATCCCTTGACCACGCCCATGGGCAGTCCCTGCTTGGGCGCCAGTTCGGTGCTCACACCAATCCGATTGGCCGCCCGCTTAATGGCCGCCTCGATGATCTTGGTGGCACTGAAAACGGGCAGCTGGAGGCTGCTCTCCGTGGTGGGCTTGGGCTCCGGAATGGGCCTTATCCTGGGACGACTGGTGGTCAGCGAAAAGACCGCCGGCGAGGAGGTGTCATGTGCGGGAGCCGGAGTGGTGGTTGTGGTACTGGTGGTACTGGTCGTAGTGGTACTCGTGGTCGAAGATGTGGAGGAGGAGGTGGCCTGCAGCTGGCTTTCCAGCTGCAGCGACAGCTCGTGGGGCAGGGCCACGCCCAGTTTCTGCAGCTGCTGGGTGTTGTAGAGCAGCTTCTGCAGCTCCTCAAGATCCGGCTGCCTGGGCGCCGAAGTGGGCGTGGTGGGTGCTCTCCTGGCGGGCACGAAACGTGGAGCAGCCGGCGTGGTCTGCGCCGTCTTGTAGATGGGCTGCATGTGCTGGTAGCTTTGCCGCTCGCCCGTATCCTCCAGGCCGCCGAAGAACTGCTGCAGCTGGCCAAAGTCTGGCGAGGATCCACGCTGCGGATGGGCGGGCTGACTCATGGCTAGTTCCCGCAGCTCCTCGCTGGAGGATTGCGAGGGCGTCGGAGGCTTCTGAGGCTTCTGGTAAACGGGCAGATCCAGTTTGAGCTCGGCTTCCGGCTCCACCTCCTGCTCCCTGGCCGGCTGGGCATAGACGATGTGGGCTCCATTGAGGGTCTTGACATTGGGACTGCGCACCGAGGCTGCGGTCACCAGCTGGGACTGCGACTGGGTCACCTGATCCGTCCGCAGTTGCACTCGCTCCAGCTCCTGCACCTTGCTCAACAGCTTCTGCAGCTGCACGTAGTCCTGCGGATGAACTTCGTCCTGCTGGAGCAGCCCATTGCTGCGCTCAAAGTGACTGAGGGGTCTCTGCTTGGAGGTGGATGCCGCCGTGGAGATCTCCACTTGCCCGCCGCCGGGAAGAAGGGAGGCTGAGGTGGGTGACAGCTCCTGCAGGTGAGCAAAATCGTTGCTGGGCAGACTGAGCCCTTGACCCAATCCTGCCCTGTAACCAGCCACATTTCTGGTGAGGAAGTTGGGCGGTGTGGTGGGCTGCTGCAGTTGCTCCAGCTGCTGGACACGCGTGATCAAGGCCTCGAACTGGGCATGGTCCACCGAGGGAGTGGGTCTGGGAGTGGTGGTGGTTGTGCTCGTGGTTGAAGTGGTGCTAGTGCTAGTGGAGGTGCTACTCGTGGTCGTCTTGGGTTGCTGCTTCTTCTTGCCGTTCCTGGCCTGCTCGTATAGCTTCTCCAGCTCGCGATCGTCGCTTAGCAGGCGCTGCAACTGGAGGAGATCGGCGGCTCCCAGGGAGTTGCCCTGGCCCAGACCGAAGCCCAATCCCAAGCCCTGATTCCTCGCTGGCTTCACGGTGGTGGTGCTCGTTGTGGTGGTCCTGCTGGACTGCTCCAACTGCTGCAGCTGCTTGAGGATTCGCTGCAGCTCACGGGCTTCGCTCTGGGAACGGGATGGAGCAGGAGGGGGTGTGGTGGTGCTAGTGGTGGTACTGGTAGATGAACTGGTGGTGGAGAAACGGCTGCTCAGGGATTGAACACTCGGATTGGTCGCCTTGATCACATTCTCCGGATTGATCTTTAGCTTCTCCAGCTCCTGGAGATTCTGGAGCAGCTTGGACAGCTCATCGGAGCTGGTGGGCGTGGTCTGGTGGTTGCCCCCGTTGGCAAAGTTCAGGTCTATATTGGGATCGATTCTCCGGCGAGGCTTCTTGGCCTCGATGAGCAGTGGCTCCCCATGGGTGATGAGGGGCACGGGTGCGGGAGTGGTAGTGGTGGTGGTGCTGGTACTGGTGGTGGTGCTAGTGGTGCTAGTGGTGGTACTCCTCCTTGCCTGTGGCTGCGATTGCAGACGCTCTAGCTCCTGCAGATTCTCCAGGAGCTTGGCCAACTCGGCGTTTCCGTGGGATGGCAAACGTGCCGTCGCCGTGGACAGTTCCGTGTGGGCACCAGTAGGCTCCTCCGTGGGCTTGGCCCCTGCCTCCTTCTTCAGCGCCTTTGGAGCCTTCTTCACGATTCCAAAGCGGGTCAGATAGCCCTCCACCTCGGGCTTCACCCGCAGCTCTTCGCCAATGTTCAGGGGCTTGAAGTTGGAGTAGGCCTCCGGTCGGATGCGGGCTCCCTGGAGACCCCTGAGATCGGCCACGGCCACCACCGATGGCTGCGGAGCACTCTCCGCCGGATAGTAGTCGTCCATGGCATAGCGCTTGTGCGCGGAGTCACTCTTGCCGCCTGAAACGATGCCCAGGCTCTCGAGGATGTCCGCCACGGGCTTCACCGTGCTGGAGGCGGAGGACGTACCCAATCCTCCAGAGGGTTTGGGCTTCCTCAAGAACTGCGCATTCTTGGCACTGTAATGGGAGCTGAATCGAGCGGCTGGCGGTGGAGGATTTGCTGGTGGATGAGCTGCTGCTGCGGTGAGCGGCTTGAAGTCCTGGTAAACCACAGGCGGTGGAGCTGGCGGATGATAGGTGGTGGCCTGCGGCATGGGCCGGAACTGCTGCTGGAGAGGATTCCCCACCGCCAGGCTGAAGGCCGGCTTGTATGTGGTGGCCGCCACTGCGGGATTCCCGCCGGGCACCGTACTCCGCGGCAGAGCGCTGGGATCCGGGGTGAGGAACTTCACGGGATCCGGCGGCGTGTAGGCATCGATGACCCGGGTCACCGGAGGACGCGTGTACAGCTCCTGGAGATTCTCCTCCGTGTTGTTGTCCGTGTTGAAGGGCAGGACGAGCATGAGGGCCCGCATGCTGTCCGCCCGGCTCATGTCGCCAGCCTCCAGGCTCTTCTCGTACTCCTCGCGGGTCACCTTCTCGTACAGCTCCTCGATCTCGCCACTGCGAAGATTGGGGTATTAGCATTGGACTGTCTTGGGCCAGAGGGAAACCCATCACCATTGCCCACTCACCGGGTCAGTCTCGGCAGAGCCGGATCGTTGGCCAGGATCTTCTGCACCTCGTCGATCGTCTGCTCGATCTCCGGCGGCTGGAAGAAGCTCTTGTCCAGCTGCTGGCGCACATTCCCGCCCTGGATGGTGGGCAGGGCTCGCGTCACGACCCCCACTTGGAGGAGGGCGATCAGCGCCAGGCACCCACGGAGCATCCTGCTCGAGGACTGCAAAGGAAAGGCCCCAGAGAAAGTAGTAATATAGACTAAATTACTACTGAGGAACTGCTTACAAAATTATATTTTTGCCCAAAAATTCCTCACTCTAATTTTTGCCCAAAAAAAAGAATTTTGTCAGTCATTGTGCAAAATATGATCAGAATACCATACCTCGTTAAGCTCAAAACGTAAATGCTAATCTATTGGCATTTACATTTGAAAGCTTTAATTTCTGACCAATTTTCCCAAAAAATTATGATGTCGTTTTGTCTGAAATCTTTCTACCTATTTTTTGACCCAAAAAAAATAGGTATTTGGGCAATCATTTTGCGAAGTAAGGTCGGAATAGGGAATGCCATACCTTGTTGAGCTCGTAATTAAATTCCCAATCGATTGGCATTTAAACCAGAAAACTTTAATTTTTGAAAAATTTTCCCAAAAAAAACCGAGGGGTTACCCTTATGAAAAATGTGAAATTTAGTCAAAAAATAAATTTCCCGGAATGTGATGCGGATCGGAAGCCTAGGCTGTTAGCTGGTCAAAACAGTCGGTCTTTCAGCTGTGCGCCTTCTTTTGACCAAGTTACGACTGAAAAACTGCAAAAAATTATTTTTGTCTGAAATCCTTCTACTTATTTTTTGACTAGAAAGAAACTAGGTATTTTGGCAATTATTTAGCGAAATAAAGTCGGAATAAGGAATGCCATACCTCGTTGAGCTCGTAATTAAATTCCCAATCAATTGGCATTCAAACCTGGAAACTTTAATTTTTGGCAAATTTTCACAAAAAATCATGATGATAAAAATTGTGAAATGTGGTCAAAAAATAAATTTCCGGAAAAGTAATGGGGGCGAGTAGCCTAGGTTCTTAGCTGCTCAAAGCAGTCGGCCTTTTCATTGTGCGTCAAGGTTTGACTAAATTACGTGAAAAACAACTAAGAAAATTGTATTATTCCTTAAACTATTCTGTATTATTGTAATAATAATTATTGTATAAATGTTGTTTGAAATAACTTGTTCCTAATTATCCAGCATAAAAGTCAGAGATTACAGTTATGGGAATAAAAATCAAAACAAAAAATGTAATCGAAATTAATTTAAAAGACTATTAACGCTACAGTCCCTGATGGATCATAATTTTTCCCAGACCTTAACTTCTTTGCCTATAACTATAGCCATGGAAATTTTACCAACCAAATTCTGTGGTTTAATTCATTATTTATCTTTACAAGAATCTTCTTTCTATATTTTGGTTCTATTAGTTGGAAGATGTTATATGTTAAATAATATCATGATATAATTTCAGTATTGAATACTCTACAATATGTAATCTTTACCCAAGGCATCAAGAACAAAGTTCAACACTCTAAAAATAACTTGGCCAAAACCCATACGACACCTTTCGTTTTCGTGTTTCCCTCGCTTTTGACTTCCTCCCCGATTGAATGACCCACCGACCCATCGACCACTCAAGCATATTAACCGACCACTTCCAGTTCGGTAGCTTCATCAACGTCCATCAACGATGGTAATAATCGGGTGGCCATGTGTGCGGTTTTTTTCACAATCACAATCACAGTCGCATTTTGCAGATCACAGATCACAGATCACGGATCTCGAGTCGACTCCCCGAGACAAAAGTTTCCGCCCAGGAAAAACTGGAGAATGGGAGAAGTAATAACCGACTACTCACAACAAACTCAAATGAAATTGAAATGCATGACAAATTTTCGTCAAAAGCCGACAGCGACGACGAAAGTAGAAAAAAAACCTATTAAAAACCAACCTATAGAGATAGATGGAAAAAATAGTACCCAAAGACGGCGACAAATATGTGGACAAGTTGTACAAATTTACTAAACCAACGAATGCAGCAAACAAGACGTAACTTAAAATCAGAAAACACTTGTGGCCAAGTGGAGTGTGAATCACCGGCATTAGCCAAGATTTTCGAGGATTACGCAACCGGAGGAGAGTGGTCAGGTCCTCAGATCAGGATGAGAGTGTTGCAAGAGCCTGGGGCGAGGGAAATGGAAATGGATGGACATTAAGATGGAGTTTGGTGGTTTGATAGTTTGTAGAGCCTGCGGCGAAGATCTTGTCCAAATTATAATAGCGCTTTTTGGAAACGAGTGGGGGGGGGGTGCTGTACTCCGGCTGTACTCCATCTATCGAACCTATCGGAGCGTTTAATTTTCACTTAATTGCCGTAGTTAAATCATAAATTAAATGAGTGCCGTAGAAAGCGATGACGAAGACGTTGACGAGGTTGTCCAGCAGCGAAGCCGTTAGCGAAATGAACTGTTAGATAATCTGGTCGAAAACGTGTGCGGAGCTAGTTATGGCCAAGCTATGCCGCTCTAACTGAACTCAGTTACACCGAACTGAGTTAAACTGAACTAAACTAAGCTGCGTCTACGTGCCGGGCATTCTAAACGAGCGACAAATGAGGCAAATTGCAGTCGGGATTGGATTGAGGGGGTTAGGAAATGGGATTGGAATGGCAGCCGGTCATCTTGAAGTACCTCTGGAATGCTGTTGGTTCGGATCCATGCAGCGCAGAGATCTCTGTTTTGAGTTCCATTGGCATTCTCGTTAAATTTGTGGTAAGACTTATGCGAGGATGGGGTATAGTAAGCCCAAGTTATGAGAGTTTTTACAATGATTATTTAACCTAGCTCTAGGCTTCCAAAGGACATCCTATTCCCAACATTCCAGCTCACTGTATCCCAAAATGTAGTAATCCCCCTAGTGTAGAACTCGAGTTACGCTGGGTAAGTTGGCCAGTCTCTAGACATCCAAAGTATATCTCATTTCCAACATTCCAGCTCACTGTATCCCAAAATGTAGTAATCCCCCTAGTGCAGAACTCGAGTTACGCTGGGTATGTTGACCAGTCTCTAGACTTCCAAAGTATATCTCATTTCCAACGTTCCAGCTCATCGTATCCCAAAATTTTGTTATCCCGCCCGTGTAGAACTCGAGCTACGCTGGTTATGTTGACAGTTTGTAGTTCAATCTGGAATGATTCGCTCGCTCTACATGGCGCATACGCAATTTCATTTTGCATAGAGCGATTAAACCTCGAAAAGGGGAAAAATGCATTTAAATTTCATAATCGACTTTGCTCTGTGTGCGTGACTTTTTGCGTGTGTATAGGCCATATAGGTATAATCAAAACGCAAATAATTTGTTGCCATTGCGGCGGCAGGCACACGAAATGTGAGCCAATCTTGGGTGAGTGCTTTTCCAATCCAGTAAAAAAATAACCACAGTAGCCAAGCCGAGCCAAGACAATGATGATGATGATGACGACGGCGGCAGTGAAGCGCATTAAACCCAGAGCAACTCGGAGCCTCCTTGTGTGTGGTAACGATTAAACGTGTGTTAAGTAATTCCAGGCGCCAATTAATGCTTTAAGCTGCACCATAACCTAGTCCCTGGGACATCTATCAATTGAGCCAACCGCTTTGCTTCATTGTCAGCACTTCCCATTTTCCGTTTCAGATTTCCGTTTTCATTTCCATTTTCTTGACATTTCATTGTGCGATATGATCGTTATTAAAGCCGACACCTCGTGTGCCAAGGCGGAAGCCCGTCAAAAGTCCGAGCTAAAGGCCGTGATCCGGTGTGGAATGGCAGCTGTAGGAAATGTTGAATAATGGTCAGTCCAACGGCCAATGTAACCCGACTTCTGACAAGGCAATTATGATTGTGGAGAGAGAGTGAATGTGTTACTAATGCACTAATAATAGTTCTACACCAATAAAACTCTTTGAAGGGTCACCTAAGATCTCTCGAAGAATCATACAAATATACCATCAAACATAATCTTATCTATCTTCTATATATCTATTCTATCCTCTCAAAACTAAGAATTAACGCACAGCGAATATGACTTAAATGACACTATTTCATTTTATCATCATTCAAATTTTATAACTCCTAATTGATTTGCTATTTTAGGGATCAAAGTCCCTCAGACATCTATTCGTTACTTTTAGTGACCACATTGCACCCACATTTTGGTCCCAAGCCCTTGGCTCGAATGACTTTAACCGTGAACTTTTACGGCTTTTCAGTCACCCCTCCCTTTGGCCAGCAATCACAGGGCAATTTCCAGTAACAAGCGCAGCAAAAAAAGAGGAAACAGTGGTCTTCGTTAAAACAAAAGACAATTGTCTTCGGTCCAAGCGGCCGCTTCATTAGTTTGGCTTAATCAAGAGCAAAGAGCACTTAGCCTTGCTGGAAGCTGGCCAGCAGAGGTCAGCTTGATTAACTAGTCGTTAATCTACCTAGCTTCGAGAAGTACGATAAGTAAAGGTAACTCAATGGGTTTTGGTTACTTGGAACCGTAATCTGAGAAAATGATCTCGAAACGGTGTCAAAGCTACAGCTTTGTAGGTCAAAACAACAAGAAAAGTATTTACATTAGATCTAAGTTTAAGATCTTAAGTTGATATTACTAAAGGCCTTTCAATCATTTCCTTCCTTTCCCCATGGAAACCTACTTCGGTTTGAAGTGCGTGGTCCTTAAGGGAACCTTTCTAGCGCATGTTGGAAAATCTAGCAACTTTATTTGTAAACTTTTCTGTAACCGAATTGTTTTTGCCCGGTGAGGATTCATCAGAATAGTGTCCTACTTCCTTTCCCCCTGGAAACTTACTTCTGTTAACGGTAGGTCGTTTTGAGGGTCATCTTGGAAAATCTAGCAACCTTATCAGCCCTTTTCCAACTTTTATCTAATCAAGTGGCTTTGGCCTGGTGACGATTCAACAGAATAGGTTCCTCCCTTCTTTCCTCCTAAAAACCTACTTCCTATAACAATGGGTGGCACTGCGGAGGATCTTGTAAAATCTAGCAGTCTTTATGGGTTTTTTACTAACTAATTTCTTATATTTTCCCTTATCAAACTGCTTTGAACTGGCGAGGATTCATCAGAATAGGTCCTACTTCCTTTTCCCCTGAAAATCTACTTCCGTTTGCAGTGGGTAGCTCTGAAGGTCACCTTTCTTGCTGTCTGGCGCATCTTGAGACCATTTCCGGCTCTTGGCTCTTGCCTCTGAATGGAAATGGACTTCGAGAAAGCGCTGCTCTCACTCCGAATCGGACGATTAGTCAGGCGACAGATTCGTCAGAGCTCCATCATCTGCCGTCTTCTCCCATCCCAGCATCCACACCACTTTTACTCGGCTGGATGGATGGAGCAGCTGCCATGTGCTCCATGGGCTCCTGGCCATTGTGGTTTTGCCCGTTTCGCCAGTCGGACCAGTGGACCGGTGGATTCTATTTGAGCCAACTGCATATGACAAGTGAATGTTGTTTTGGGCGGCAAAGCCAGGAAAAGCCAGTAACTACATAGCCCCCGAAACTGAACCAAGTCGCTGGCGAGGCAACTAACTTGGCCAACTGGCTTTGGCTTTTGGCTTTGGCTTTAGCTTAACTCGGACTTTGGTTTTGGGTTTGGTTTTGGTTTTGGTTTTGATTTTGGTCTTGGTGCTCGCTGCCCATTCGGGTTTGGACCTATTTGGATCTGTTTGACTTGTTTATTGGCACTTTTACCCAGTCGATTGATTTCTTGCCTTGGCAGATGCTTAATTATTGTCTTTATTATTGTCGGCTGTCCCTCTTCACTTTGTTTGTCAAGTGGTTTTGGCCCGGTGGTCGGTTGTTTCCCTTTTTATGGACACTTTCACCAGCGAATTGCCGAAAAAACAACGACAGTAATAATAAATATTAAAACACTTAACATGCCATGGCTTAATTTTTAAATTGTTTCTTTCTTCTTTCGGGTTTCTGTTTCTGCCTTCGGTTTACAATAGTTATGAAAAGATATTAAAAGTGTCGCTGGAATTGTTATGTGTTGTTTTCGTTGTTGGGATTATTTCACTGCCTGTTGAGGTGATTACAATGGAATGTTACTTCATTAGGCTTACTTCTTATAGGGTCTTTTGTTTGGCCATAAAGTATACTACTCAATTAAAACTTTATAATAGGTGGCATAGGTAAATGCTTGGCTTTGTCTATAAAACAAGAAACCCTTATGAAAGTTGTCTTATAAGACATTACAATACTCCACCTTACTCTAAAAATACGCCTTTTTCCTAACCCAAAGACTAAGCTAAGATCCTATTAACCCAATCACTGCACATGCAATCGGATTCCACTTTGCAATGCCCTTGTGTCAAGGTCGTTGCTGTGGTGCGGCCAATTCGAATCACGATTCACGAGTTCGTTGCCTAAGTCTTTTGTTTGCTGGCTGCTTTTCCACCACACCAACAACCTGTCACCAGGCTGGCTCCCCCCCAGCGGTTTTCCAATGGCCGTAGCCAATGGCCAACCAATTTTCAATTACATTTTCAATTTTCGGCCGCTCACGTTCGCCGCGCACTCCAAATTTTCAAATCAAAATCGAATCGAGACGCTTTTTCACAACTCTCAGAGGCGTCAAACTTTCAATGCACCACACACACACAGCTCACTACACAGTTAAAAAATATCAAAGAAATAGAAACCGAAATCAAATCGAAGCAAAACGCGAACACGCGACTGTCGCTTGGCTTCTGTATCGGTTGTGATTTTGATTTAGATATTGGTTTTGTTTCGTTTTCGGGCTCAAGCGCATGCGCGGCCTGCAGACCATTTTCAATGAGCGATCGCAGCGTACTGAGCCCGGTTGAAAGCCGTCTTGGCCAACTTCGCTGCTTTTGCTGCTGCTTTTGCTTCTGCTGCCTTTGCTGCTTTGCTTCTTCTCTGCTGCTGCTGCGACCTGGCCTCTTAGAAGTCGCAGCCAGAAAATACTCGATACATAAAACTAAAATCCCATTTGAAATGCATGGCATAAACTTGCATTTTCTTAGCCCAGTTAGACAACTTGTTAGCCTCACAGACACTGTCTATTAATTGCATTAAAAGCCATTACATAAATTGGTTCATTGTTAAAATACTTGGATAAAGTGAGCCAAAATAAAGACTTTTAATGTGCCTCTAAGGTGATTGATATATTTTCCATCACAATTAAGCTGTAATTGCTATTTTAAACATTTAATAATTAAAATCTGGCATAAAGGTAACGTATGTATTTATTACTTCTTTAAATATTTGTACACTAATTAAATAGCCATTTAAATATTTAATAAATAATGTGATCTAAAATATACCCTTTTACTCTTTCTCATTACAATAAAGCTGTAAGTGCTATTTTAAATATTTTAAGGGTATAAACAAAAATGTAGTAATCAAATTCTTACATAAAAGGAACATTTATTTATATTTATTTCAATATTCATATAAAGTTTTAGTGCACTTTTACTCTAGTGCTTGGGTGCATTTTTAATGAAGGAACTTCAACTATTACCTACTATTTCTGTAAAATATTAAATATTTGATAAAAATAGTATTAATATTTAAAGATTATTCATTAAATACATTAGACCCTTTAAATGATTGTTTTATTTATCATAGCATTAACTTGTTCTGTTAAACATTTCAAACGGGTTAATAAATATTGAATAATAAAAGTCTTGCATACAAGGATTTTTAATTTAAAGACAAACTTACAGCCTAAGATCTATAAGTAAACCCTTAATTCAGTGCTTTATCTTGATGAGTTCAGCATGACATAATGAGGGTTAAGTATACTTTTTAGCCGTTCTTATAGTTCCACCTCGGGCCAACTGATATGATCTCGTGCCGCAGTATCAATTAAAAATCGATTTGGCATAGAAGGCATTTCTGAGAGGGATTCCAAGCCCCAGGCGTGACCTGTCGCCAAAGCAGAGCTTCAATCTGTCGCTCGATCGCCGGTTAAAAGTGGCTGGTTCGCCTTGACCAAGTACACTGTGAACCGCGATAAGGTGGAGGAGCTCGGTGGGTCGGTCAGGTCCGTCGGATCCGTCGTATCTGGTGGATCGGGGAAGGTGAACAGGTGAACAGCATTCTGCCGCAGCAGACTGGTTTCGGCAGATGGGCGGCATTTCACTTTGGCCAGCGGCCAGCATCGCCTCTTTTCCCAATTGACAAATTCGATTGGTTTTCTCTCGCTTTCTGCTCCGCTTCGAAACGATTTGGTTTTTATTACAATGCGGTCTCTGGCACTGCTCTGGTTGCATAATGAAACGCATGTCTGGGGTCCGTCGATGGCCGATCGTCGATCGTCGATGGGCCTCAATTCACTCGACTTCCAGTGGTTCCCATTAGTGCACGCTGAACGGTCTAACCGACCGCCAAATGGTACAAGACCAGGTTCCAAAAGGAATATACGTATAGAGAGTGACTCAATTTGGAGCATTTAAGTTGCATTGCAATGATTGTAATGCTCTTGTACCTGGTGTTTTTAGGATGGTATCAAAACTTGCTTAGAAAACGATCGTTTTACATCCAAAACTTATAGAGGATCTCACAGAACTCGGCTCCCAAAAGGGCTATCATCAAAATATTTGGTATACGAACAATTTAGAGTGAACTTTTTTTGGAAAGCAAAGTCATTTACCATTCGTAATAATTTTTTTTTTGAGTGCTCAGGCAAACGTAGTTTCCAAAAACTTTGGGTTCATTTTGCGCTTGGCACGTTTTGCTTGAAATAATTAAAACGATTTTTGGTTATTTGTAACATTTGCCATTTACACACCACAGTGTTTACCTACTCGCCGCAAAAAGGGAGGATGAGGCTGCCTTTTTGTGTGTGTGACAACATTTGACACAATTTAACGCTGACGCGACAAATTCGTCTGCGGTCTTGGTTTGCTGAGCCGTGCGCCTCACTTAAAGTCTTTTTGGGAAGGGGATCTTGGGATTGGGGGTTCGGGATTCGGGGTTCGGGGTAGGTGGAACTTGGGGGTAAGGTTTGCCCAAGTGCTTTACATTTGGTGCGCTTGCGCTTTGACTTTGCCTTTTGCACACACTTGAATTGCAACACGGAAAGCAAGCGGCCACAAGGCGAATGAAACCAAACCAAACCAAACTTAAACTTAAACAGCGAAATATAAACGAAGACTGAAACAGAAAAATGACAAAGCCCATAACTCTTGACATGACACGGCCAAAATGCTTAAATGCTTGCCGGAGAACGGAGTGGGGCTTGGCATGGAAATATGGAACTTTGGAGCATCGCGCAAAATGTGAATTGCTTTTGTGCACCTTGGATGGGCAAAATTACGTTGGTCCTGGGTCGCAGACCAAATACCCTTCATTTGTAAACATTTAATACATTTCTAGAATAATATACGTTCGTATACCAAAGTTTTTGATGATGTTCCTATTGGAAACCGAGCTCTCTAAGACTCTCAGACAATCTGTGGCATTAAATTAGAAAATAAGAAATAAAATGATCATATTTTGTATGTTTATAAATCTACAAAACTTTCAAACATTTTTGGAATAATATACGTCAGTATACCAATATTTTTGATGATGGTCCTATTGGAAACCGAGTTCTCTAAGGCTCTCAACAAGTTTGTGGTATCATATAAAAATATATAAACTTTAACCGAACGGAACAAAAAAAAACAAAGATCAATTATTTAATAGTTAATATCAAAGTTGGATAACAATAGTATCAAATTGGAATTCGTGGATCTGATAAACCATACGACTCTTATTATTAATATTAACTTGCTAAAGAGCTACTTATTTATCTGTGTGGGATTATTAACTTGGATCCCCAAAGTACGAGGTGATAAGGCGTTGGCTGCGGCACTTGCCGTCTCTACCGCTCTCTCCCCTTTCTCCGCCACCCTTTCTCCGCCGCCGCTTTTACTTTATTCGGCCATTCACTTTCTCCGTGTGTTGTTTGCTTTGCTAATTTCGGATTTGCCTTCGTCACAGAGCAACAACAACGAGAAAAGAGAAACAGCAAAACGGGCGCCAAACTGCTGCTGCTTACACTGTTGCCGCTGCAAATTCGTATGCAAAATTCCAAGAAATTATCCAATCGCGTGTCGGGGATTATCCAATTCCCGTCAATCCGAATCAATTCAAAACCAATCCAATTCCGAATGCAAAATATGCATATAGAGCATGCACTGCAGATCCGATACCAATTCGGGCTGCTCAATCTCCATCCGGGGGAGATTTCGTCATCATCAGGTGATGTTGGCCCAATTCTGGGGTTTCGGCTAACCGAACCCAGCAATGCCAAGTTCGTTGCCCAAGTCTTTCGATTTCGATGTTGGGCGGGGCCGCAACCGCCATCAAATCGACAAGCCATAAAGCTCAATCAGTCGATTGATCGCTGTTGTTAAGTAGACACGAAATTAGCTGCAAATTACAGGGGGGACACTCGAAAAGAGGCGGGGTTCTTCCTGGCCGGGCTGAATACAATGTGAAACCCGTAAAAATTTAATATCTTCCTTATATCATGGTGGGGGCGTAGCCAGGGGTGTTTTCCGGTGATATCCCATGTAAAACATTGTGTTTGTAAGTGTTATACAAGAAATTTGTTCGGAAAACCCCCTCTTAACCAAATCCTGCTTACGCTACTGTAACAGGGGTTTCTTTATCGGCACCGTTAAAAGTTATATCATTTTGAATCGATCCATAGATCAAAACAGCCTTAGAAAAAATTAAAATATCAACCATTAGAGTGGTCTAATCGTCACTGAATACCCAAGTTAGTTCGTTTTTTACTTGAGCCACTTCGTATCACTAGCAATCGTTCGAAATTACTTATCTTAGTTCCAAATTCTGTGGAACAGTTGAGCAGAAAACTAAAAATCAGTTCATTTAACATTCTTGAATGTTAAAACAAGTTTCCACCACAATTTCATATATTCACTCTCTACCCTTTTCTATTTTTAAATACTTGCTTATGAAATCCTTCAGTTTCCCACAGCAGACTGCCTTACATAAGACCACCCAGCTTAAAAGAAAAAGAAAACAAAAATTCGAGGTGATACTCGAGAAGCTCCACTTTGTCCCCCCATTTTCATAGCCCCCTCATTCAACCAAAACAAACAGGAAGGAAACCGGGGTAAACCAATAAGAAAAAGTGAAGCACACGCCTCTCCGGATCTCGGGAAAATTAAGATTTAGTCACAGACTAATGTGTTTGGAGACTGGCATTTAACTTGATTGAATGGAATTTAATTTAGCTGTATTTTTATGGAGTGGCACCGCATGTAAATAGCCCGAAAATAAACCGAAAGTAGGCGAAGGTTGCTTTAGAGACCTATTAGTCAAGAAAAGGGTATACCACAGTAGTTTGTATTTTTAAATTGCAAAACTAATTATGTAAGCATAACAATTGAAACTCAGAATAAGATAATTTTGCTCATTAAGAACAATTCAAATCGATATAGAAATTATAATGTGCATTTTACAATGTACATAAATGTTTGCATGCTGTTAGTTTCAAGGAATGTTTAAGAAATACCACGACTTTCAGAATGGAACCCAAAGCTGCACATCCAGATTCCATAACTTCAGTTATTCGATCCCGATTTTGAAGTGGGGTGCCTCTCTGGGTTGGTAGTTGGATTCCCATAACGGTATACATTAAAATATTCCTTTTAAGAGAGGGTCAAAATTTTAGCCTGTTTTTATGTTCGATTTTCCGGTATTTCGAATGGTTTTCAGGGTAGGAACCAAAAACTCAACTTCTAAAATCCATAACTTTACTAATTGGATACCGATTTTGGAGGTTGATACCTCTATGAGTTTGTGGTTAAATTCTCTAATGGTCTACATTAAACTTTTTCTTTTAAAAGAGGGTCGAAATTTTAACCCCTTTCCATGTTCGATTTTTCCGTATTTCCAATGGTTTTCGGAATAGGAACCCAAAACTCAACTTCTAAATTCCATAACTTTGCTAATTGGATACCGATTTTGGAGGTTGATACCTCTATGAGTTTGTGGTTAAATTCTCTAATGGTCTACATTAAAATTTGTCTTTTAAAAGAGGGTAGAAATTTTAACCCCTTTCCATGTTCGATTTTTCCGTATTTCCAATGGTTTTCGGAATAGGAACCCAAAACTCAACTTCTAAATTCCATAACTTTGCTAATTGGATACCGAATTTGGAGGTTGATACCTCTATGAGTTTATGGTTGAATTCTCTAACGATCTACATCAAAATATTCCTTTTAAGTGAGGTTCAAAATTTTAGCCTGTTTTCATGTTATTTTTTACGTAATTCCGATGGGTTTTAATATGAGACCCCAAAACTGCACTTCTAGTTTCCATAAATTGAGTTGTTGGTTCCCGGTTTAGAATTGGGATACCTCAATAAATTTGTAGTTGAATTATATAATAATCTATGTACATTACAAATTGTTTTTTAAACTAGGGTCAAAATTCTAACCCATTTTCATGCTCGATTTTTCCGAACTTTCAATGGCTTTCACAATGGGAACGCAAACTGGAGTTATAAATTCCATGACTTGTGTTTTTTAATTCCGGATACTGTAAAAGAGGAAAGCTTGTAAAACAAACATTACTTACCTTTGTCTATTTATGTTGTGTATTATGTTGTGCTTGTGTATTTATATTTATTGCTCCTGAAGTTGTATTTATCAACTGATTGGAAACTTCAAAAATGTATGTGTAATTTTCACTTGACACAAAAAAAAAATATTCTTAAAAACTGTAAGGAACACCACAGCCTACATATACACACATACTTTTACAAAGACGCGCAAGGGAAGATGTGTGTGTGGAATGCACACATTTATAGGTATTTTCCTTAATAAACTCGAATTTACCCATTTACACGCGAAACATTGATTGTTCTTCATTGAACCGAACTGCGTTCACTTGTATATAGCACTTTGAACACATTTTTAAAACATTTGTTTGCCGAAACAAGTTAAATTGGTTCCTTTACCGGAATGTTAAACTTTTTCAGGACGCGAGAACAGTTTGCTTACAAATTTTAAGTTTACCGTTAAGTTTGTGGAATCGAATAGTATCGATAATTTTCAGTCGATTAGGAGAAATGTCGCTGACTGTGAATAGTATGCGTGTATATCACTATTTTGTTTAGCTTATATATTTAAGCACATTCATTAATGGTCAGTTAAATAAATTATTTAATAATTCGTTGGCCAAAAGTTACAGTCGATGTTTGCATTGCAGGGAAAATATCGATATAGCCAACTGTGGCGGGCCACTCGATAGTACCGATAAAACATCGATTTAGGTCACAGCTCTAGCCAGCTGTTCGCGCATCTGTGTGTGGGTGCGGATTTATTCATAGCCAACGGAAAATCAGTCAGTTTCGGGGCACACGATACATAATTTTACATAAGTTTTACATAGATCGAGCTCGGAGTCCGATCGGAACCACCCCCGGGCCCCCCACTCCGGATATCGAGAGGAAAAAAGCAGAGTGCTGCCCCCTGGTGTGCGAGGTGTGCGTTTGTGTGTGTGGGTCCCCGTGTACGTGTGCGTGTGTGAATGAAAAAGCAGCAACTGTGAAAATATAACCAAAAATAAGTCCGAGGTGCACAGTTGCAGGCGGGGATTAGCAGTCCTCCCAGATAACCGCAGGAGCCAGGAGGAGCAGCAGGTGCCGCGTGAGACTGAGACCCAACGCTTTTCAGGATGGCGGATGCCCAGGCAGCGGCGGTCGGAAAGAAAAAGTACAAGAACAAGAAGAACTCGGCGGAGAAGAGTCCCAATCCGAATACAAATCCCAGTCCGAGTCCAGATCAGGATCATGATCAGGAGGCACCCACCAGCAATGGGTATGTGCGGCAGGAGGAGGAGGATGCGGCGGCGGCGGCGGAGGATCTCAGGGGCTTGCTCAAGCAGCTGCACCTTTGCAATGGCCATGGCGCCAAGGAGCAGGCTCCCTCGCCACCTCCGGTGGAGGTGCTCAACGGCCATGCCCATGGCCACAGCAACAACAATCACATACAGGCCACTAGTGGCGGCAGCAACAACAACAACAGCAGCCACCACAACAACAGCAGCGTGGACAGCAGCAACAACAACCGCAGGCAGCGGAGAGACGGGGATGTAGAAGGAGTAGGTGGAGGAGGACCAGATGCCCTCCATCCAGAGGAGAAGCCTGTGACAGCCACAAGCAAATGCACTGCCAACACACAAACAACCACAGCGACGGCCACAAAATCAACAGTATCGGAAGAGGCGGTAGTGTTGCAAAGGGAAGCGCCAGTGGCGACGGGGAGTGGCAATGGACGGCAGGAGGCCGAGGAGGAGGAGCCGCTGCCCTCCACCTTGGACGAGTCCACGACCACCATCACAGCAGAGTGCCAGCTGCCAGAACCTGCCATTTCAGCCATTTCAGCCGACGAGATCGTGTACAAGGAGTACGAGGCTGAGCACCAAATGCATGTGAGTAGTACCTTTAAGTTCGACCTGTACCACATACTAATACGCCGCCAATCCGCAGGACATCATGCGACTGATCCAGGCGGAGCTGTCCGAGCCCTACTCGATATACACGTACCGCTACTTCATCTACAACTGGCCAAAACTCTGCTTCCTCGCCTCGCACGACAATCAGTACGTGGGCGCCATTGTGTGCAAGCTGGACATGCACATGAACGTGCGGCGCGGCTACATCGCCATGCTGGCCGTGCGCAAGGAGTATCGCAAGCTCAAGATCGGCACCACACTGGTCACCAAGGCCATAGAGGTAGGATGGCTGGGAGAGGTCCCATAGAAGTGATGGGAAGCAGTTTAGGTTGAAGATCTATGGACAGTATTACCAACGGGGGGCTGCCATTATATAGTATTGTTAAGTCTTTGTCCTGTTGTCTCATAAATTGCCATTATAACATAACAATAAGTGGGCTCTGAAAGGCAGGTACTCTTTTACCTCGATATGTAGTCATTAGCTTCAAATATTACCTAAATTTCATATATTGGAATAGAGAATTTAAACCCAGTCAAATCCCCTGCAAAGTATACTTTTGGGCATATCTTGGTTAGAAATTCGGTACCTCAATTTATCTGTAATGTAAACCTAATAACACCATCTCTCTCCTCCCCTTTTTCAGGCAATGCTGGCTGACAATGCCGACGAGGTGGTGCTGGAGACGGAGATGCGGAACCAGCCGGCCTTGCGGCTTTACGAGAACCTGGGCTTCGTGCGTGATAAGCGGCTGTTCCGATACTATCTCAATGGAGTGGACGCGCTGCGGCTGAAGCTCTGGTTCAGATGAGTGGACCCGGCGGCTGCCGTTGAAATTGTTGTCTAAGTAGCCGCCGAAGAAGTCGAGATCCGCTCGTCCTGCCTGGCCTGCCACCTGGCAGCTTGAATCGGCGCCCTCTTTTTTGTACCTATTTAACTAGGAAGCATCGTAGCATCAGTTTACACCCCCGCCTCCCACTCACCCCGCCCCTCGTCTCTCTTTCATTTGTAAATTATTTTTTATTATGTAGCAGCAGCGGCAGCAAAAGCAACATCTGCAGATCGCGTTTAGCAAAAGCAGAGCAGCACACAACGGACCCAAAATTTGATTATTTTTACAGAAGGCAATTTTGTATGCAATACGTGATTTTACATGCATAAAATTATACATTAAATTCTTAGGCGAGCAATTAGTTATGTACATTAAACAATCTACACAAATCAATCTAGAGAATAGACAACAACAACATGGAGCAGCAGCGCAGCACACACTCATTTACCGAACTATAAACATAGAATCAAATTTTGTAAAAAGATTGATCAAAAGCAAGCAAAATCGTACGGAAACACACGAGTAATGTATATCAAAATAAACACACACAATCGGAACAAAGAGCTAGGAACAGAACCGGAAACGGAAACAGAAACACTTGCGCAACACATAATGCAAATTGTAGCGTTATATACATGTACACACCTGCATGGAATGGACAGAGATTGCCATCCGTGCGGATGAAACGACTCGCCATCTGGTCTTCTATAACTTCTAACTCTGTTCTCTCCAGTGTTAACGCCTGGGATCAGGATCAGAACACAGGAACAGATACACGTAGCGATAAGGATGAGGATGTGATCAATCCCGAGTAACATTGAAAGAATGCAATAAAATCTTAAACAAATACGAAAGCCGTGACTTGTGTTCTTTCTTCAAGTCTTAAACCAAATATAGAGAAGGTTTATAATGTTTTATGATTTATTATGTTATAAAAAACAGCATTATAACTACTTTAACTAGGAAAATATCTCTTAAGGATACACAAAATCAAACTAGGATTCTGACTCGTACCGGCCTCATAATTTTGGTATCGTGCGTCATAAAAATCGATTTGAATACTCAACATTGGCTCGATCCTAGACTTAAGCCTACTTAAGAGGAGGTTTAACAGTATGAACAACATTTAGTTTAGCCAACTGCGGCTGCCTTAACCTTAAGCTTGACCCACTTATGGATGTGGATGTGGTTGTGGAGTTGTGGCTAATCCTAAGTATGTACATGGGTGGTGCCACCAGTTTCAGTAGCATCACCTGCTGCTCCGCCGGTTTTTAGGACTGTTTGCGGGAGCGGATCCGCGGAGCTGCTTCAGTTCGGAGCGCGTGGCCGCCTTGATGCTCTGCACCTGTTGGCGCACGGATGAGCTCTTGTAGGTGACTGTTGTTGTGGGCGCGTTGGAGCCCGTCGTCGTCTCCTTCTGCTCGAAGAGATCGCTGACCTCGACCATGCGCGGCTTGAAGAACATATTCGGCCGGATGACGGCCTTCTCGGGGTGCTTGAACAGGTTCAGCAGGCCCCACGACAGCTCCTGGCGCTCCTGGCCCTCGCTCTCCGGCGGCGAAGCATTCTCCACCTCCGACTCCAGCACCCAGGCCGCATTCCGCACCTCGATGCGCAGCCGCTCGCACTCCTCCAGGCTGACGTTCTTGCTCACATTGAGCAGCTGCTCCAGCGGATTCACAATGTAAATGGCCGAGTGGTCCGGCTTGGACAGTGGCCTGCCTTCGTTCAGGGAGATGGCTCGGTTGTGGAAGTCGAACTGCGAGTAGAACTCGAAGAACTGCAGCAACAGTTCGCTCAGCGAGCTCTGGTTGCGACTTCGGAAGCCCAGTCGCTCCACATCCCGGGCGAAGCTGCAGTTGATGCCGTCTTCGGTGACCCGTGCATCCCCGGCTTCCGCCGCCTTCGCCAGCGCTCCAATGGTGGGCAGGATTGGCTGGCGCAGCTGTTGCAGGAAGAACATCACCAGGCAGGTGAGCGAGAAGTTGCTGATCCAGCGACCAGGCGAGGGGTTCGTGAGGCCGCAGGTCTGCGCCCAGCGCCGAATGCTGAAGGTCAGCGGGCGGACGCGCGGATCCATTTCGCCAAACATGTAAAGCAGTTCCGACATATAGAAGCCAGTGCTGGAAGAGGGATTGGGCTTTAGAACCACCATGGATAAACTTTAAACAACGGGCGTGGCATCGTTCATTGAGCAAAAGCCCGGAGAACTGACCCCCACCACTGGCCGGATATGGAGTGCAGCGCGGAGCTTATCGGGGGGCAGGTGAATGGATGAATGGTTGGGTGGGTGGGTGAATCATGGCCATTGGCACGCCAGGGAAGTCATCACAGAGCGGGAGAGAACTGATTCACCTGCTCCGGCGCGAGAGCATCGAAGTATTTACACGGTATTTGGCAATCACAACCTGTCGCTATCTAATCTTATCGAGCTCACGAAGCTTTCTTATCTAAGGCCGCTCTCCCTGCCCGACTGTACGGGCCCAACTAGCCTGGATGTTGTCACCGCCGCGTATCTCAGCCAAACAGCCAGTTTGGTCAAAACGATTTCAACGAACGAACCCAACGGATCTCTGTTTCTGGTCTTGCTACTGAGCAGCCTGTCTTTTTCTAACGACCCCCCGACATTCGACCAAAACAAGGTGAATCCTAGTGAATGTGTGCTGTGTTTACGGGAATTCGCGGTTCTAAGTTCAGATTTGAAGGAGAAAATCTATTTTTTTAAAGTGCTTTCGAAAAGTGTTGAAAACTGCCACCACACACAAAGATATAAGCCAGTGGATATCAGTTTCAAGTGTAAAAGGGATATTCCTATAAAGAATGGGTGTCTACATTAAGGCTTATGTAGGTTCTGATACATTCAGAAGTTACGAATAGTTTTGGAAACCATTCCTCAAGTCCAGTCATTGGATCTTTTTCGATTTCTTGAATCGCGGGGTGTTGCAATTGCTCGTATTAATCATCTAGTGCGTGGCTGATAACGCTATTTGCTAAACACAGTTTAGATAAGGCCCTCCGAGGTGGAAAATGAGGCGGTCGAGGGCGGGGAGAATACACCATAAATGTCGAGCAACATCGTGATTAATAAACGCGAACAGGGCGAGCTTTTGGTATGTGACTCAAGGCGGGATTACTTTGTGATTCGCTTGGTCAATTATTAAAGGATCCATTCAGTATTATAGGCGGGTCTGGAGTATCCCATTTGCTCAGCAATATTTTCCTTTTGATACTTAATTAATAGGTTCCCTATATTGGATATCCTATTGTATCTCTCCTAGAGCGCCATCTTAGTCAAGGAATCCATTCCATTCACATGAATCATCCAATACCTTAGTGTATAGGTTTTCTTGTTAATGAGTCCCGTCACATGAAGCATTCAATATACAGCAGAGAATCCTTTAGTTCCTGAATACATCCTTTCCTCGTCCTAATGATCCTCCTCTTGCTTTCCCAGCTTTCCCAATCATGGGTATCGGCTATGGCGCCTCCGACGAGCAGCTGGAGAAGCAGATCGGCTGCGTGAAGTACACCCTGTTCTGCTTCAACATTGTGGCCTGGATGATTGCGACGGCGCTGTTCGCCCTCACGGTCTGGCTGAGAGCTGAGCCCGGCTTCAACGACTGGCTGCGCATTCTGGAGGCGCAGTCCTTCTACATCGGCGTGTACGTGCTCATCGGCATCAGCATCGTGATGATGGCAGTGGCCTTCCTCGGCTGCCTGAGCGCCCTGATGGAGAACACCCTGGCTCTGTTCGTGTTCGTGGGCACCCAGGTCTTTGGCTTCATCGCCATTGTGGCCGGATCGGCGGTCCTGATGCAGTTCAGCACTATCAACTCCAGCCTGCAGCCACTGCTGAATGTGTCGCTGCGGGGCTTTGTGGCCACCTCGGAGTACACCTACTCCAACTACGTGCTGACCATGATCCAGGAGAACATCGGCTGCTGCGGGGCCACCGGGCCGTGGGATTACCTCGATCTGCGCCAACCGTTGCCCAGCTCCTGCCGCGACACCGTCAGCGGCAACGCCTTCTTTAACGGCTGCGTGGACGAGCTGACCTGGTTCTTCGAGGGCAAGACCGGCTGGATTGTGGCCCTGGCCATGACCCTCGGCCTGCTCAACGTCATCTGCGCGGTGATGAGCTTTGTCCTCGTGCAGGCGGTGAAGAAGGAGGAGGAGCAGGCCAGCAACTACCGCCGTTGAAGTGCCCCGTGCCCCTAAGTAACTTAGTTAGTAGCGACAAGTGACCCTGCGATAGATCTAAGAATTCATACCCAGTTCGAACAATAAGTACAATAAAGATTGCGACCCCATACACGAAGGAAAGCTTTAGTGGAATGGGATGAGTCCAGGCGGATGTGTTTGAAGCAAATGGTACTCACAGGTTGCTCATGGACAGGTCCACTTCCAGGTCGAGGTGCTCGTGGTGGTACTTGATGATGGGCACCCTGGCCTGCAGAATGCGCCGCACATGGCAGACGCCGGGCAGGAACAGGTGCAGCATGTCCCCGAAGCACTCCATGTGCCGCTGCGTCTGCGAGCGGCCGTTGCTCAGGTTCTCCTTGGTGTGGTAGACCAGTCGCGAGGGGTCCGCCGCCTCCCGTGAGCCCTTGGCGCCCATATCATTGTCGAAGCGCAGAATGAGGTCCAGATCGCAGCCCATCCGGCCGAATCCGTTTACCGAGGAGCCAAAGGGCTGCGCCTGGGCCGCGGGGAACATGCCGGCGATGGCCTGCTGCACCTGCAGGGCGGCCAGGAAGCGCATGCGAACGCCCAGCTCGTTCAGGCGCGTGTGCTCGTGCAGCAGCTGCACCTGCTCCTCGATGTCAGCCGCTCCGCGCAGAAGCCCCAGTAGATGGGACTGCTCCACCTGCCGGTTGCCATCGAGGGACAGCAGCTGGGGCGATGGGTTGGCCTGGGCCAGCTTGGGGCTTCGCCGGCCGCCTCCCGCTGCCCGGAACCAAAGGAAGGGCGATCGCACGGGCACGCCGCTCAGATCGCCATTTGAGACGCCCGCTCCGATGGCGGCCGCCGCCTCGTCCGGCGTGGCGAACTCCAGCAGCACGTAGTGCAGAGCCTCGTCCTGGCGCACACAGTAGTGGTGAGCACCGAGGATCGAGCCGAAGCGGCTGCAGTAGTTATACAACTCCGGGTACGACTTCTCGGAGCTCACCTGGACCACAATGCTGCAGCGGGCCTGCCGCTGATGGCGGCCAATGAACTCCTCGTAGTTGGGCCTGCCTGCGGGCGGACATTGACCGTGGTTAGCGCACTCAAAACATCCCCAATCCCCGCGAGAAACCACTCACCTGGAGACGCCGCCTCCGGGCCGCCGTGTTTTACGCAATACGAGCGCCAGAGGCTCAGCTGCCGGGCACTGCGGCGCACCAGGCTGTTCATGGCGGGTGTGGAGGTGGGCTGGTCAAGTCGTGGACTTGAAATCCGGAGTTTAACTTCACCGAATATTTTTGGGCTCTGGGCCTTGAGGTTATGTTCAGCCGGTTATCGACCACAAATAGCGGGTGTGCAGCCCTGGTTGCAGCACCGGAATTAATTTAGTTTAAAACCGAAGATATGTAATACATAAATCATCACTTGACCTTGTCCAGAGCATTTTACCTGCCCTTTTATTCAGTAAAACCCCAAATATGCTAACATTTAAGCGGATGCCAATCCCAAACGATTGGCATGCAGCCCTGCAAACTTATCGATTGCCCCCCTTTGGCGCCACATTCAAATTGCGATCGAAAAGCTTCTTGACTTATCAAACTTTTTATTTCACGTCTCAGTTATTGTGTTATTATTGTTGTTACATGCGGGTTCTCCGTGGGACGAACGTTTTTGCGTACAACTAGGTTTAATTAGGCTAAACACGTACAAAAAGGGGACACGATTGGGTACATTTTCGAAATATACGCCATCTCCTCTACGATCCTGGGTTTGGTTACATTCAATCAACATTTGGGTGTATATATCGGATATATGTGTATGATATATATACATTTATTGGGTGTATATAGAGTGCGGTTATTGCTGATATCTGCGGGATTCTTATTCCTATGCCGAGTGAGTACGCGGAGTACGGGCTTATATTATCAATAGGGCTGTTATTGTTCATCGAGTTGCTAATACAGGGTTACAGCTTAGGTTACAGGGTTAAAGGTTATGTGTTAAGTGTGTGGCTTGTTTTGTATTTGTGTTCTGTAACAATTTCATTGTGCTTGTGTTCTTCTTAAATGCAAGGCGCCAAATCATCGATTTTGATTTCTGGTTTTTGGTTCACTTATTATCTCAGTATCACATATGTCTCCTCAAAATGCGTTCGTTTTGTGTGCCGAAACACTGGAAACATATCCATTTAGCAACAATCTAAACGCTCTCGATCAGGAAGTGATCATTAAAGAACTACGCGAGCAAGGAACACATCGAAAGCAGGCGAAACTTAAGATTAAAATTAAATAATTAGTACAATGCTCTGAGCTGTTGTGTGTGTGCAGTGATGGGTGTGTGCGTGTGGGCGGGGCGTGGTTGGGGGCGGTGGTAAACGACGGACTAAGCAACTTCGGTCAGAATAAAAGCCTCCACAACTATAACTTTGATTTGATCTTTATGGTTTACAGCTCTAATAATACGGACTTCTTTGGAAACGCCAAGTAACTCAGCGGATCCACATAAATAAAATGTACAATTGATTCGTTTTTAAATGTTGATAATTGCCAAAAAACCTCGTTATCTTTTGAAAAATTTAACATAGCCTAATGAAATTTCCTTATCTAATCCGTAACGAGCAATTTTGCATAAAAACTCAACAATGGGAAAATCCCAATAAAAATGCGTCATCCTCCTTTAAAAAAACAGACTAAAACCGAAATTGGGATGCTACCATTGTGACCGCAGCTGTTGCTATCCTTAGCTATACATCAAACACATCCTTACAGATTTACAAACATATACATATGGGGTTTAGTTTAGTTTCTGCCTCACTTCACTTCACTTCACTTTAGCTTAGCCTAGTACTGTCTAGCGTTAGAGAAATGCACTCGACTATTGCTTTCCACAGCCACGCCGCCTGCCCCATCATCATCTGCCCACCTTCTGTCCAGGTGAACCCCCAGATCCGAGATCTACGACGGGCTCTATATGTCATCGATGAGGCGGCCCTCGATAACAGACGAGTGGTGGTAGTTGGGCCGCGGGCGGAAGTCCTCGTTCTGCTCGTTGAGCTGCGTGGGCGAGAGATCCACGCCGGGACACGAGGGTGTCACCACGATCTGTTCGTACTCGTTCATCCGCTTGCTAAGAAGGCACCAAAGAGAGCGAGATGGCATTTAGATGGGGGAACTCTAGGGGTCGGAGTCATAGCTCACCCGAAGCACCGGAATATGACGCTCTTCAGCCAGGCGAAGAAGTTGAACTCCGCGGTGAGGCCTGGCTTCACGGCTGGGTTGGCTGTGCCCACGTAGAACCACACGACGAACACCACAAGGAAGCAGGTGAGGGCGTAGTACCAGTTCACCAGCAACATGACCAGTAGCTTGGTGAAGGCCTGTCATGGGATTGTAAGAAATTAGCTCAATTTAGCTTCTTCCGAAGCAGCCGACTCACCCCCAAAAGCGAGGCCCAACGGTTGCAGTAGCCGGAGTACCAATTTTTCGTCTTGGAGTGGATGGGCGGGCGAATCGGGGCAATCGGTTCGGCATCGTCGCCCTGCTCCTGATCCTGCTCGCTGCCGATCTGTCCGGCCGCCTGCTCCACGGCCAGTGTGGTGTCCGCCTCTAAGGAATTCGAAGCCTGCGCCTGATTGGAGGTGCTGGGCCCCTCGCCGTTGAACTCCAGGGGAACGGTCTGGTGCAGCGGTGAGTTCTGCGGACTCTGCAGGTTCTTGTGGCGCACCCGATCGGGAAAGAGCAGGTCCAGGTCATTGCCCGTATCCGAGACACTGCCGTAACGACGCGTCTCATAGCTGGGACTCGAGGCCTGAATGCGGAAGCGCTCCTCCCGCTGCTCCTGGATGTCGAAGGTCTGGGCCAGCGCAAAGTAGGCGTAGTCGATGCAGGCGTACGTCAGCAGGAAGGGCATGGTCACGATGGGAGCCAGGAAATTGATGTCGCCCACGATGATGAAGGTGACGGTAACCAGGGCCACGATGGCCATGGCATATAAAGGCACTTTGTTGGGACCTCGCTGATAAAGGATAGGGGGAAAAAGGAGTAATTTATATCAAGGTCTTCGGTGTAAAAGCTAGATTGCTTTACGACTAATTTCCCCTGATTGGCTTCCCTTTACCGACTGGTACTTACGCCTTTTCCCAGGATATCAATGCCCGGAATGACGCTCTCCTTGGCAATGCTCTGAAGGACGCGCGGGGTGCCGTACATGGCCCCCAGGCAGGAGGACATGCTGGACACGTAGATGCCAGCCAGCAGCAGGCAATTCACGGCAGCCACCTTGACGGAGATCGTGTAGTCCGTGTAGAGGTCGGTCCGCTGGCAGGTGGCTCCCAGAAACAGCACGAACACCAAGTACAGGAACGTGCTGCAAGGCAATCGGATATTAGCCAGGAAATATTCCACAGGTGGAAGGGCCTTACGAGGTGCCAAAGGCGGCCAGGGTGCCGTTGGGAATGTCTGTGGAAGGGGCGCGCAGGTCGCCACTCATGTTGATGCCCGAGAGAACACCGGTGACGGTGGGGAAGAAGACGCCAAACACCCGGAACCAAGAATATCCGTCGTCATACTTCGGCCACAGGTTCTCCACAAAGTTGCCGCTCGCCCAGCCCTTGAAGCCGCCAGCTGCAAAGGGAAAAGGAAGTCAGATTGATTAGTGCATGCTGATTGGGTTTTAAAATCATGCGAAAGGGTCCCTGAAATCTCTTTTTACCACATCTGTCAGAAATTTCGGTTTTAGAGGTACCCCTGATTGGTACGAAATAATAAAGATGGTTTTCAAATGGATTAACATAAAAAAGAACCCATGAGAAACTACAACACTCACTGGGCTCGTTGGTGAAGCTGCCCACCATGAAGTCCAGCGCCGAGATGAGCAGTATCATAAGCAGGATGAACTGCAACTTGATGACCCACTTGACGCCGGCCACGTTGATGCTGCCCAGCAAGAGCACTGCCGCCGTGGCGAAGCCTCGAATGGCCCACTTGTTGTCCACGAGTCCCACAAGTCCGGCCATCGACTCGCCAAATCCCATTACGTTGAGGGCACATCCCACCGCCTGGCCGAAGCAGTAGAGCAATCCCAGGGCGCCACCGAAGCGGGAGCCCAGGGTGTGTGCTATGAGGAAGTACACGCCGCCGCTCTCCACGCGGCAACGCTCGCAGATTCCAATGGCCGACAGCACGCTGACCAGAGCGATGACCACCGTGCAAAAGATGATCAGCACGGCGTTCAGGATGCCCGCCTGGGCGACGATCCAGCCGGAACGCAGGAACACGATCACGCCGAACACGTTGATCAGGCAGGAGGTAAACACCCCGTCCCAGGTACCAAAGAGCACGGGCTGTGAGATGAAGAAGTTGGAGCGCCACCTGTTGAGGAGGTGGCATAAGATTAGGCTCTCTCTTGCCTAGAGATTTACTTACCAGGGCTTGTCGCCCTGCTCGCCGGCAAAGATCTCATTGGCCCCGGAGGCATGGTGGCCACCAGCCGCATACGTGTATTCATTACCCAGGTCCACGAATCCGCCGGTGTTGTTGCTCCGCTGGCGGAAGCTGGCCACCGTCACATCGCCATCCTCGTCGCCACCGAGTCCGAATCTCTGCCAGTCGACGTTGCGCCGGCTGCCGTTGCCGTTGCCGCCGCTGCCTTCGGAGCTATTAGTCATCTCCGGTCCGCTTTCCCCGAACCGTCAGCTCTACCGCTTCTTGTTGTTGCGTTGTTGCTTCTTCTTAGAAAGCGGGAGCGGTAGTGGTGGCGGGAGCGGTATGTGCGCTGCGTTGTTCTTGCTAACCAAGACGACGACGACGTGGGTTATCTACGACTATTCGGGCGTAATCGCGGCAATTTACTGATTGCTATTGCTCGGCGTTCGCGTTCCCACTTCTGCAGCCAAACATCAAAGCATCCAATCCTGCGGAGAATCCTCTGCAGATCGGCGATCCTCTGGCTTCGCTTCGACCTGGACTCACTGGCGGCTGCAGCGGGCAGCGGCGGGCATTGTTGTGGTGGGACGCGGGAAACTGGACGCGCTGAGTTTGCAAAAAGTTAAATAAAAACACTTGCTTATTGGTAAACTACATGAAGTCGTCATCGATGACTTTTCGGTGGGCTGCGATAGGCGGGCTATGTGATTTCAATTACGGTCTATCGTTTGGAGCCTGCTGATCGGTAATCGGCTATCTGCCATCGGTTATCGATAGCCCGCCGCACGTGTGACATTTCGGATTGCATATTTTTCAATCAAATCAACTGACAGCCGAAACAACTGAACAACCAAATGGGTAAAAAGAAGGAAAAGGCCGAAAAGCTGGCCAAGAAGGCCTCAAAGGCTTCGAAGGAGGAGGCCTCCGCCTCGTCGCCGGCCGCCAAGGGCACCACGGCCGGCGGCACCGATCCGGAGAGCGGAATCTGGCGCGATGCCCGCTTCCAGCACCTCCTGGCGGATCCCCGGTTCAAGGGTGTTCCCAAGGTGCAGCGCAAGGTGAAGATCGACAAGCGCTTTAAGGGCATGTTCACCGACGACAAGTTCAAGGTAAAGTACACTGTGGACAAGTACGGTCGCCCGGTAAACAAGAGCAATTCTGAGGATTTGCGCAAGTTCTACGAGCTGGACGAGAATGAGAGCGACAGTGACAGTGACAGTGAGAAGCTGGCCAAGAAGAAGTCCGATTCCGACTCCGAGGCGGAGGCGGAGCAGCAGGAGCGCCGTGCCGAGGAGCTGGCCATCGCCAACTTGGAGAAGAAGCAGCAGAAGGACGACCTGGGCAACGATGCCCTGGACAGCGATGGCTCCGAGGTGCCCAAGAGCCTGCGCGAGCGCCTGACCAACCCGGATATTGACTACGCCCGCGGAGAGGGTCGCCTGTTCACGGATTCCTCCTCCTCCGAGGAGGAAAGCGACGACGAGGACGGCGACGGGGGCCCGGAACTGCAGATAGACCATGTGTGGGGCGAGCTGGACAACGATGCCGAGCACACCGAGGAGAGCACCCGCCGCCTGGCCGTCTGCAACATGGACTGGGACCGCATCCGTGCCGAAGACCTAATGGTCCTGCTGAGCTCTTTCCTGCCGCCCGGCGGCAGCATCGTCAGCGTGAAGATCTACCCCTCGGAGTTCGGCAAGGCGCGCATGGCCGAGGAGGAGGTGCACGGCCCCAAAGAGCTGGTGGAGCGCAAGGAGGAGTCGGAGGACGACTCTGATGAGGAGCTGGTGCGTGAGGATGACAGCGATGCGGAGGAGGGCGAGGACTACCACATGGAGAAGCTGCGCCAGTATCAGCTGAATCGCCTGCGCTACTACTACGCCGTTGTGGAGTGCGACAGCGAGGCCACGGCCGACAAGGTGTACCATGAGTGCGATGGCATCGAGTACGAGAGTTCCGCCACCCGCGTGGACCTGCGCTTCATTCCGGACGACACCACGTTCGAGGAGGACACCCCATCGGACGAATGCCACGAGCTGCCGGACGCCAGCAGTTACAAGCCACGCCAGTTCACCACCACGGCGCTGCAGCAGGCCAAGGTGGATCTCACCTGGGACGAGACAGCGCTGGACCGTCGTGAGCTAGGTGACAAGCTTTCCAGCGGCCAGGTAGACAAACTCACAGATAAGGAGCTGCGCAAGATAGTGGCGTACAGCAGCGAGGAGGAGGACACGTCCGAGGAGGAGGCGGAGCAGGCAGCTCAAGAGGAACCTTCAGAGCAGCCGCTGAAGGTCAAGGCCAAGAAGCTATCGAAGAAGGAACGCATTGCCACCTATAAAAACCTTCTGGCCGACATTTTGCAGCAGGAAAAGCAGGAGAAGGAGCAGAAGTACGAGATGGAAATGACCTGGAGCGTGGAGCCCCAGCAGGAAGAGGAGAAGCCAATGAAGCCAGGCCCAGCCGCCGAACTTACGCCCATCGAAAAGGTTATCCAGAAGCGCAGCGAGAAGAACAAGCAGCGCAAGGAGCAGCGTCGCCAGCGCCAGATAGAGGCCAGGGGAGGAGATCCCGGGGAGGACAGCGATGCCTCCATGGTGCCCGATGGCATCGACTTGAACGACGCCTACTTCGCCGAGGAGTTTGCCAATGGTGACTATGAGCCCCCAAAGACAAAGAAGGACAAGAAGAAAAAGAAGAAGCGCAACAAGAACGATGGAGAGGAGGATGCAGAGGCTAAGCAGGAGGAGAAGGAGTTGGAACTACTCCTCGACGACGGCGATGGACGCGACGAGAAGCAGCACTTCAGTTTGACCAAAATCCTTAAGCAGGAGGAGCAGGAAACCAGCGGCTCGAAGCGTAAGCGCCGCCAGCAGTTGAAAAAGTCGAAGAATAAGCCACAGGAATCGGAGAAGCCGGACGACGACTTCCAGGTCGACCTCAACGATACGCGCTTCAAGGCCGTCTACAAGTCGCACGAGTACAACATCGATCCCACCCACTCCCACTACAAGCCCACCAAGGGCATGCAGCAGATTATCGGCGAGAAACTGAAGCGCAGGAAGGAGCAAGTGGAGGGCGGCGCTGTCAACGGAGATGTGGATGGGGAGGAGCCAGTGGCCCCCAAGCGCAGCAAGCAGCAGCTGGAGCAGACCGCCCTGGTCAAGAACCTCAAGCGCAAGATCCAGCAGCACGAACTGCTCGGGCAGAAGCACTAGGGGATTAATTTACTATAGGTTGTAAACCATAAAAGGGTAATTTTATGAGTGATAAGACTGTTTTGGTTAAAGGAAGGGAAATAAATACTGCAATTATCCAGTAATGTTTGTGATTATGAGATGCTATTTGATGAGATCGCACAAAACCCGCGTAAGTCACAGTCCAAAGCTTAGTTTATTGCTTAGCCTAGCCTAGTTCTAAGAGTACAATAATGACAATTGCTCCAGGGTATCGCAGTCCCCATTAGTAGCTGTAGCTGAAGTAGTGCCTGTACAGGGCCGCAGTGATTCTGGCGTCCAGGTGGAATAGATCCGGCAGGCAGATGCGGCGCTCTTGCTCGTAAACCACCATCTGTTCGCAAACGTGCGCCCACACGGGATCGTAGAGGCGCCGGATGAGCTGACAGTCGAGCCGTGGGCGGACCAGCGCCTGGACCACGGCCTGCAGTTGGGCAGCCGTGGCGTTCTTGTCGAGCAGAGCGGTGAAGGGACTGCGCCCCAGGCACAGCTCGTAGAGAACCAGCCCCAGCGACCACACGTCCGACTTGAAGTCCACCTTGCCCTGGCTGGACATCGCCTCCGGGGCCATGTACATGGGCGTGCCCATGCCGGCCTGCAGCTGGGTGCTGGGCGCATGCACGTTGGAGATCCCGAAGTCGGCGATCTTCACGCGATCCGAGGCGTCGAGAAGCATGTTCTCTGGCTTGATGTCGCGATGTATGACGCGGCGGATGTGCAGGTACTCGAGGCCCACCACCATGTCGCGGAAGAAGCGGAGTAGCCGTTCATGGTGGACACCGCCCGTTCCCGGCGGTAGCTGCTGGATGACATCTCGCAAAGTGCCATTGGGGACGTACTCCATCACTATGTTCACCGTGCCGGCGTGGCTGAAGGAGCGCAGGAACTCGACGATGTGCGGGTGGCGCAGCTGCGAGATGATGTACACCTCCTCCTTGATCAGCCCCAGCTCGGTCTTTGGGTTGCGGACGATGATCCGCTTGACGCACACCCTCCTGTCCGGCTGGCCGCGTCCCTCGCTCTGCAGGCACAGGAACACCCGGCCGAAGGTGCCCTGACCCAGCACGCGAACCGCGCGCAGCTTGGAGTCGCCCAGATCCATTTCGAGAGAGTGATTTCTGTGACGAGCAGCCGTCGGTTACAGTTAAGTTAAATCCGCGCATGCGCGCCATGTATCGATTGTCTCCAGAACAAGAGATGCGAGCTACCCGAAAAATAGCCGAAAATGGTGGGTACTATAATTTAAATCGATTTTTTATGACGTCAATAATATAAACTATTCTAAGACTTTTGTGCATGGGAACTTATAGTACTTTACAAGTATTGGGGCTATAACTATTACACAAAAGTATGGGTACTATAGTTTAAACAGAACAATTTATTTTAATGATGTTTGAAATATATACTATTCCAGGCTTACAAAGGAACCTATAGTATTTTACAAGTGTTAGGGCTATGATTATTATAGATGTTTTTTTTAGTTTTTATTTATTACATACATATGTAATTATGCACATATTTTTAGTGATATGTTCATTAAAATTTTTCTTTGTTTTTTTTTGTTACCCATTTCTATGTTAGCATTTTCTAAGTTTCTAAGTTATCTTTAAAAATTAAGGGCCGATTTTTGTTTGTAGTTTAAACCAAAATCAGTATATTTTAATATTGATTTTACATTTTCTGTTTGAAGTACTGAGCCATGATTTTAATTATCAAAGCTAGGTTAGGTTTGGCTGACCCCGATTTTGCTTAATAATCGACATACAATAGTACAAGTTTTAACATTAAAACTATTGGATAAAGCTGTTGGGAAATTCTCTCGAAAGTCTTTGGCTTTTAATAAATATTCGTTATAACATTTTTATAAGTATCTCTTAACCCAAAGACGGTAAAACAAGTCTTAAAAAGCCACCGTCAGATATAATTGTGCCGCTTAGCCAGGTTTTTGTAAAAGTAGGTAGTACATTTTGGCTTATCATGCAGATGAGAGATCGAGGGGACTGTCCAGAACCGATAGACTGGCTTACTCAACCGATCCTCGGACCGGTTGGCGCTTTTCTCTTTGATTTCGGTACCGCACATATGGGAAGCGAGCGCTTCCTGCCAATTTGGGTGTTATATAAGACGTTTTATCGCCAGATTGATAATTAAAACTGCTCCGATGGGGAGATTCGAGACAAAGCGACATGGGTTGGGGCCCATACTCATACTCATATGAGCCGGGTGCATGTCGGACATGGACTTAGACATAGACATGGACATGGAGTTTTGCAGACTGGCGGTATGGCTGTTATGCAAATCGTGGGGCCGGGAAAGCAGTTTACTTTTACTTTTCAAATCGATTATATGTGCGCAGAGCCGCCTTTTCGTGTGCGCCCAGAGCACACTAACCCAATAAATCGGGCTGCTTTGCGCACTCGGAACGGATTTCGGAATGAATTTTGGGCCATTCCGCGAGCTTCCCCAGTAGAGGAGTCGTTAACCTGCCGCCGAACCGAAGTCATTATCTAATGCGATTGTATTGTGCTGCATTTTAATTGCTCATTCGTTCAAATGGGATCGTATGGAATCGAATGGGATGTGGAAAGCCAGCCGCCGGTGGCCAATTATCGCTGCGGGTAGACGCACCTTTCACCTGACACGCCCCTTGCCCCACCACCCAACGCCCACCGAGGGGAACGCACTTGCAACTTGCAGCACGGCATGGAGATTGTGAAAAGCCCTTCACTCCAGCTCAATCGATCATCCATCATCGGGGACTGGGATTGGCCCATCACTCTGGGGACTGGGTTAAGTGGCCTCAAAGTTTAAACCGTCGAAAGCAACGCGGAAGCTGACTATCGGGGGCTATCGTCAGAATTGCAAAAGCGATAACTTGATAGATTACATTGTCATATATCAATCCATAAAAATCTGATTGGCCTGACTATTAAATATAGCAACGGTGGAAGTCTAATTTACATGGCTATAAGAAATAGCATAATTGGATGCTGACTTTTTTATCTCTAGACATGCAGAGGGGATAAAAAAAATCGGTGATAATTGTCAAAATTGCGGAAGAGGTAGGATAAGGCAATAACTTCATAGAATTCCATCGTCGATATAGGCAATTATTTGAGAAAGTGGAAACATAGTTAGGAAGATAGCATAATTGAATGCCGATGGAATGTATCTATCTTTAAATTTCCAGGGAAGATAACCAAAATCGGTGGCTATCGTTAGAATTGAGATAACGATTAGAAGGCGATAACTTAATGGATCATCAGGGATAATGATCTATCAGGGAACTATATGAACTATTTTTATAGCAAAAAATGATACTGATCAACTGCTGAATTCCTTAGAATTCTAATAGCACCGATTATGATAACCTTCTCCCTTCTTGTTTTTTAATTAATAATTTTTATTTGTTTTTCCGCGCCTAATTGCCTTGCACTTGCATCGAATTTTTTAGCGGCGACTGGTTTTCCAGCTGGGTGGTTGTTAACCCGTTGATTGACAACGGGTTTCGGTTTCTCCTGCGCAGGAAACTGGCCGCAGTGGCAGCAAAGGCCACATGCCGTATACGTAATCCGCTTTAATTGAACCACTATCGCACGCACCTATTTTCCAAATTTTCCAAACAATTGTGGCAGGCAGCGGTCATAAATTACAACAACAGCCCACGACTTTGGCTGAAGTTCGTTGCCGTTGTGTTGCCACTGCTGTTTCTTGTTGCCGTTGCACATTTCACATTTCGCTCGGCTTGGGCCGGGTATAAATCGAATCTGGTCCCGAACCCAGAGCCACATTCAGCCATCCACTGCCAAGGAGAGCACTTCGCGTTACCGTCTGCGGTTTTGAATATTTTTTGATTGTGATCGATCCAGTGTGTGTGTGAAACGAAAACATCCCGAAAACCATGCTGAAATTCGCTGTAAGCATTGGAATTTACCACATCATATAAAATATAATAATCTAGGACCAAAAACTCCTTGAAAAACATCGTATTCTGTGTACCCATTTCAAAGTGCTGGTTCAGTTTTATATTTTTAAGGCCTCGTCCTGCTGCTTATAAATAAACCCATTTTTTAAATATTTTTTTCAAAATATAATATTACAAAAAAAAAAAAATTTTATAAGTCCTTTCAAAGGAAACTTTACAACAGTCAAAATTTTGTAATACGTCGAAGAGCTATTTTGAAAATATTCATTTTTTTAGTTAGGTCAAGGAATAATTATGTTTTGTTAAAAAATATTTTGAAAGTCCTTACAAACGATGTTTTGTAAAGGAATATGTTCAAAATATTTTTTTATTGAAGTAATAATAATATTTTACTCTCTTTTTTCTTTTCAATAATGAGAATTGAAAATTTTCGAAGATCTAGATAAAGGATGCACTGTTCCTGAACGTAGTTAAGAATTTATTGGAATGTGAAAGCGTAAAGATATGTTTTCACAAAAGTTTTTTTTTAAAGAAAACCCTTGAAAGGCCTTATAAGTAATACTGTGGGCCTGAAAGTTTTGAAATTTTTATTCAGTAACAAGAATTTAAGATTTTCGAGGATCTAAAAAGGGATACTCTACCCTTTAACTTTCTTCAGGTTTGGATAGAATCGAACAACACTGCGAAACCTTTTTATATAAAATATTAAATACCAGGCACGAACACCAAAAATTAAGTAAATCTGAATTATACATGCTCTTACCCAAACATATTGATGCGGCTCAAAATCTCTACTTGTATCCGTTTCCGGTTTACTAAAACCACTATTGAAATCACTGTACAACTATTCCCGCAGCTTCCCTGCCTGGCCCTGCTGGCCGTGAGTGGAGCTCTGAAGATCCACGACTACCACCAGGGGCACGAGGAGTACGAGCACCAGGAACACCACGAACACCACGAGCCGGAGCACCACGCCCACTACGAGCCGGAGCACGAGGAGACGGAGCTGCACCACGAGGTGGACCACAAGCACGCCACGTCGCACCAGAGCGTCAAGTTCCACCACTACCACGCCGTGCCCGTCTACATCAAGAAGGAGGACCAGCACCTGGTGAAGAAGCCCATCGAGATCGGGGGCACCAAGCAGAAGTTGAAGATCCTGCACCCGAAGAGCGAGCACAATCACAACCACGGCCTGGTGCTCGAGAACCACAGCGAGTCGCACGTCCATGAGCACGGCCACTACGAGGAGCCGGTGCACCACTCGGAGCACTACGAGCACTACTCGCACCACGAGTAGGCTTCGGATTCGGATCGGATCGGATGAGCATGTGGATTCTGGACCCGAATCGGGAATGCCAAATGAGCTGTAGGGTTTCGCTAGCGTTTAAGTTCTTTCTACAATAATTTTCTTGTGTTAATAAAGCGTTTACCTAGATAAAGTATAGACTACCGTCCAAGTCGAGCGATCTTTTATTACTTAAACTTTTGTAGCACTCAAAGCTCCCTAACTGTTGGATCTACAACTAGACATTGGCTTGTAGGCGAAAAAATATTCAAAACACTCCAATTATGATTACTTAGATTACTGTACTAAGTTTACTCAATATTTAAAAATGTAATTGAAATATTTTCAAAATATTTCCAGAGTAACCAGGCGCACCCTTCGGCAAAATACCACAAAAACTATTTTTGGTATATTCGTACTTTTGGTATATTTAAATTTTGTGGCAGGTGGGTGCACCGGCTACACTCGATAAGTGTCTCTCTAGCGATGGGCAAGCCCCGATAGCCACAAATCGAAAGCACCATTTTTGAACGCGTCGGCGACTCCTCTCTAGGACAACCTGCCTCTGGTACTAGCCATTTCACTGTCTTTCGTGGCCGGCAGGGAAACGGTTCTTAACGCAACTAGTACAATACTTCAAATAAATTTAATTTTTATTTATTTATTTTTCGGATTAATAAGCTCAAACTTTCAACTAGTTTTCTTTTTCGATTTTTTAATAGATAATTTCCATTTATTTTAACCAGTTTTGTGTTCGGGTTTTTGGGCCTCCGAATAGAGAGAGAGGCTGAGCTTTTCCTGTGATGATGAGTGCGCCACCAAGTCTATCGCCCTATCGTCCTAGCCTATCGATAGAATATCTTCTGTTATCGTTATCGCCTGCAACAATTGAAAGCACCATCTTTAGCACGACTGCGACTCATATAAGGGACAACCTGCATTTGGTATAAACCATTTCACTGTCTTTCGTGGCTCGGCAAGGAAAAGGTGCTAACTGCACCTAGCCCAACACCCATATATAAAAAATAATTTTTATTTATTTTTATTCTTTTAATTGTTTTGAGTATTTTAAAAAAAAATATTATGATATTCATTTTTCGACATTTGCTATTTTCTTTATAAATAGACTAAGAGATATTTTCCATTTATTGTAACCAGTTTTGTGTTTGGGTTTTTGGCCCACCAAATACTGAGCTGCTCCTATTGGCCTTTTTCCCAAGTTGTTAACATATTTATTAAGACGAATAGTTTGGAAGCAATATGTGTAATATTAAAATGACATCTCGTATAAATGTGATGTGCTGAATAGACGTTGATGCCTTTTCCTTCAATGATCGATTGTCGAGCAAACGCTAGTAGGTTTGCTGCTGTTGTAGCTGCCAGCAGATATTACGTTTTTCAAATTTACTTAACTCAATTTTTAATTTTTTAAATCTCATAAAAATTTACGACTTTTTTTTCGTTGTGCCGTGCTCCGAAACCAGTAACAGGATGAACTTTTCCCCGCTTTTTACACAAAGAGAGATCAGTCAAAAAGGGCATACCTAAAATGTTACGCCGATTTTAAGGCGCATTTTGTGACGATCTCATCTTTTCATGGGAGTTAGGATCGTAAAGAAATAATTGTAGATTTTACAGCTAGATATTGGATTATATGCGATCAAATAATCTAAGCATTATAATTTTGGGGGAAAAAACAGACTTAATTTATATGAACTTGAATACTTCCAGAGTAACCAGGTAAAAAATCTTTTGCAAAATACCACAAAAACATATTTTGGTATATTTGTATTTTCGTTATATTTTAGCTAACGTGGTGGGTATCTCTGCTATGGTAGAAGCAATGGCTGGATTCGATAGGTGCATTTTTAGCGATGGGCAAGCCCCGATAGTCACAAATCGATTATGCAGCTGCGAAAATCGAAAGCACCATTCTTGAACGCGTCGGCGACTCCTCTCTAGGACAACCTGCCTCTGGTACTAGCCATTTCACTGTCTTTCGTGGCCGGCAAGGAAACGGTTCTTAACGCAACTAGTCCAATACTTCAAATAAATTTAATTTTTATTTATTTATTTTTCGGATTAATAAGCTCAAACTTTCAACTAGTTTTCTTTTTCGATTTTTAAATAGATAATTTCCATTTATTTTAACCAGTTTTGTGTTCGGGTCCTCCGAATAGAGAGAGAGGCTCAGCTTTTCCTGTTGGCCTGTTGCCTAAGTTGTTACCGTCTTTTTTTGTTCGAATAGCACTTCGATGTTTGGAAGCAATATGTTCACATGGGGCAAGTGAGTACTGTTAAATGGGCACCGATACAGGCTATATAATAAATGGACGTTGACACCGTTCCCTTCCAAAGTTGTTAACACTTTATTTAGTCGAATAGCACTTCGATTTTTGGAATTGGAGCCTCTTGCCTTAATTTGTTTGAATAGCACTTCGATGTTTGGAAGCAATATGTTCACATGGGGCATGTGTTAAACGGGCACCGGTACAGGCTTTATATGAAATGGACGTTGACGCCGTTCTCTTCAATGATCCATTTTCCAGCAAATGGTTGTTACTGAGCTGCTGTTTTTGTAACATCTTACTAATTTTAGTAAATCATTTATTTTTGTGGTATTCGGCCCTCAAAAAAACTGACCGCAGGCTGATGCAGTTTCTGTCTGCTGTTTTTCATATTGTATTCATGTTTGCATTATCATAAAGAATACATAGATAATCCCAATTATTTAGACCAGTTTTGTGCTTGTGTTTTTGACCCTCTGTTAAGTGCTGTTTGTTCGAAATTGTTTGCTGTTTCTTATTCATCGAATAATTTATTAGATTATAATTAACTTCGATTGCGCCCGGGTCGCCTAGGCATCGGAGCTCAACATACTTATGGTCTCTATTCTCAGGTTTGCACGCGCGTTCGATAATCGCAAGGATGGTATCATCCATTACGCCATTGGCCGACAGCTTTTCCATAGGATAGCCGAGGGCAATTGGATCACTCACGCGTTCATTCAATATCACCAATGACGGTGGTTCTCTTAAAATAATTAAGGCACTTTCAAATCTTTTAAGTTGTATTTCAAGCATTCTTGTGTAGTATTCCGAGATTTTCGTAAAGTTCACGAAGTGCTCGGGATTTCGACATATATAAACTTTTCTATTAGGCACGTCCTCCCAAGTCACGTAGTACTGTGGAAGCGTTTTAATTTCTTTTAGAGTAAACTCGTCTTTATGGCCTAAAAGGCTCCATATATCAGTGTTTACTGTGCTATGTATTTCTCGAGCTCCTAGCTGTATGAATTCCATCATTTGAAACGAGCTTACGAGCTGGTCGATGCTTGCGACAATATATTTCGCATCATCAACATCAGCCTTAGCTGAATCTGATGGATTCGAGCTTTTTGGAGCATGTCTAGTATCAATCGCAGACGCTGCTTCGGTTGTTCGACCTTTTGGGTCTACTATTTTATCCGAAGCTGCATCTGTCTTTTCAGGATGTATCAGCTTTTCATCATCAGATTTTTTAAGCTTCTTTTCTTTCGTATCAGGCCCTTCGGCCGTCTCACTAGCTTCTTCATTTTTTATTCTGTCCGTTTGTCTTTTCGTTGTCGTCGACGACATAATTGAAAACCCATTCAGACATTCACAATAGAAAGCATTTATTTAGGAAACATTATATTGGAAACATTTTTATTTGTTCGATAGCACATCGATGTTTCCTCTCTAGGACAACCTGCCTCTGGTACTAGCCATTTCACTGTCTTTCGTGGCCGGCAAGGAAACGGTTCTTAACGCAACTAGTCCAATACTTCAAATAAATATAATTTTTATTTATTTATTTTTGGGATTAATAAGCTCAAACTTTTAACTAGTTTTCTTTTTCGATTTTTAAATAGATAATTTCCATTTATTTTAACCAGTTTTGTATTTGGGTCCTCCGAATAGAGAGAGAGGCTGAGCTTTTCCTGTTGGCCTGTTGCCTAAGTTGTTACCGTCTTTTTTTGTTCGAATAGCACTTCGATGTTTGGAAGCAATATGTTCACATGGGGCAAGTGAGTACTGTTAAATGGGCACCGGTACAGGCTATATAATAAATGGACGTTGACACCGTTCCCTTCCAAAGTTGTTAACACTTTATTTAGTCGAATAGCACTTCGATTTTTGGAATTGGAGCCTCTTGCCTTAATTTGTTTGAATAGCACTTCGATGTTTGGAAGCAATATGTTCACATGGGGCACGTGAGTGCTATTGAACGGGCACCTGTACAGGCTTTATATGAAATGGACGTTGACGCCGTTCCCTTCAATGGTCCATTTTTAAACAAATGGTTGCTACTGCTGCTTCTGTTTTTGTAACATATTTGAAAATTTCCCTTACTAATTTTAGTAAATCATTTATTTTTGTGGTATTCGGCCCTCAAAAAACTGACCGCAGGCTGATGCAGTTTCTGTCGGCTGTTTTTCATATTGTTTTCAGTTTTGCAATATCATAAAGAATACATAGATAATCTCAATTATTTAAACCAGTTTTGTGCTTATGTTTTTGACCCTCTGTTAAGTGCTGTTTGTGTCGCTGCCATCAGATATAACATTTTTGGAAATTGTTGGCTGTTTCTTATATTGGAAACATTTTTTTATTTGTTCGATAGCACATCGATGTTTGGAAGCATTTTGTGCACAAGTCAAATAGATGCGGAACATTGAACGGACACCTCGAATAACTGCGTAAATGAAAATCACGAATTCGTGCATTTTGTTAAATGAACGTTGGTGCTTTTTCCTTCAATGATCCATTTTCGAGAAAATGGTTGCTACTGGTGCTGCTGTTTTTGTAGCTGCCATCAGATATAATATTATTGCAAGATTCAATAACTTTTTTTTGTGGTACCCGCCCCACCAAATTCAGCCCCAGGCTGAGGTGTTCCTGTTGGCCTGTTTCCAAAGTTTTTGTCATTTTATTTAGTCGAATAGGACTTCGATGTTTGGAAGCAATATGCCCACATGGGACTTGTGCACATGCGCATTATCGTATTCATGCGTTATGTTTAATGAAAGTTGATGCCTTTCCCATCAATGATCAAACGGTTGTTTCTGTTGCTGTTGTTGTAGTCGTTTTCCTCAGATATATCATTTTTAAAAATTTCACCTATTCATTTATACAAAGCATTTTATTTATG